TACATGTCCATGATCTTTTCAATGCTCTTGGCATTGTTATTCAGTAGAAAAAGATTTCAAACTAAAATTTGTTATTGTGTTTTGCTCTATGATCGAAAATAATGTTTTTGAAGATCATGTTCATCCTGTGAAGTGTTGATTCTGATGCCGTCGGATCCAGAATTTAATTTTGAATATATTCTATCTGTTTTGAATTAAAAAGGAAAAAAATCATATCGGTACAATTGCAAAGAAATTTATATGGCATTTACGAAATTTCCTATTTCAAAAAATTTCCATAAAAATGTTTATCTTTAAGTGTTGACAAAAATGCTAATAAATGCAGAATTTTATGTACAATAGTTTTAGTTTCGAGCCACATTTTTTTGTTAAAAATTTTCACTCATATTTTTTTTTGACTGTCGTAGATGGACGATTCAGTAGGTGTTGATCTTTTCAATTTTATACCGACAAGGAAAATGCTTTTGAAAAGTAAAAATTGACTGTTTTGTAGAACCATAAATTCTCTGTCAAATGAACGTACAAACAGATTTTAAACTGTATCAACCAAGAAAACAAAAGTCAATAATTCAGAAAAGAGATCAATTATTCACTTGAAGTCTTCAGTTTATGTAACATTTTTTTTTTATCCAAAATTGCCTTGGATTTCATAATAAGTTTATTTTTAGTTTCTATTCCAAGCATAGGTCGAAGATCATATAGACTTCTTCAGAGAATAAATAAATCCTATTATCCGAACAATGAGATGGATATATAATTACACGTCTAGTTCAAAACAGAACCAGAGCTGGGCAAAATTGATCCACGTCAAAACCAAGTCATGTTTGATTTGACCAGTATTTTTCAGTTATGTGAGTAGAGATTTGTCAAATAAAGTCAGCTATTGAAAAAAAATAATCAAATCAAGTATAACTTAGTTTAACTTGGTTTTGATTTGGATCAATTTTGTCTAGCTCTAAATAGAACAATTATTTTTTAAATACATTAAATATACTACATTTGCCATATGGCATCATTTTGATACTGTCAAAAAATATTCAAACAATCGACTGATAGAAGCCACAAGAAGTAACTTTTTTTTGTTAGATCCATTGATGAACCCGGCACATATTAGTTGATTTCAAATATTTGAAATAAATGAGATCAAAACCTGAAATATGTAACTTATTGTATTTTGTATTAATAATAATCCGATCAAAATATTTACATGAAATATAATATTATAGATATAGATCATAACTGAAATTATAAACTTCGATAATTATAATTATAGTGTGTTTTTTAACTTATTCTAGGAAAAAAAGTGTTACTAAATGTGTTAATTACTTTAACAAAAAATAATATTGAGAACTAGAGAAAATAAGTTTAATAACAAAATTATTCTATATAAAGAAACTAATTTGAAAAGTATCTTGCTGATTGTCTAACGCAAACATTGAAAATCTATATTTGTCATTTTTCTTTTTTTTTTTTATAGCTTATTGAAATAAGCTGTTCAAAGATTAAAATACATGATTTCTATATATAGTTTCCTAAAAAAAAGTTATAAGAATATGTCAAAAGATGTTCAGCAATTATTTAATAAAAATATATTTATCTTGTAATAGAGTATCTTTGTAAATGTCATTATCCTTAGAGATTATCAAAAAGTTAGGAATATTATTTACTTCTTTGAATCAACACAAATATATTTATTAAAATCACGATTGTGATGGTTTTTTTTTGAACCCGATGAAATGTATTGGTGTTTGTTGATTATAATACACTATTAATATTCTTTTAGACAACATCATACCTTCCTGCCACTACCTTATGATGATAGAAAACGTGACAAAAGATATTTTTAGAAAAAAAACTAAGCATTATCTTTCGGAATTTTTCTTTTTTCTTTACAGTAGTTAATTGTATATTATTTTAACTATGTTCTTTCGAATAATTACGAAAGCATTATCATAATAATATTAAAATGTAAATATCAACAGATGTCTCTTTGTTTAAATTTATGTTTGAAAATACGCACAGTATCGATTTTCTTCATATTTTATATTATAATCACGATTCAATAAAAAGGCATCAAAAAGTTTTAATCGGAATATTTGCATATCACAACATCTCAAAGCATGACATCTGTGCTTTTTACTCGGCAAGAGACTATTTATGTTTGCAATGATCAACGACGCAGGTAGGTATTTGAAGAGAGATGTTTGACATTATGTAATTGATGAAATTCTATCCATATTGATTAATAATGAAAAAGACGAATTTCAATATCTTAGCATGTACACTTCAATAGTCATTATTCAAATAATCAATTCAATTTTGAAAAAAGGAAAACATTTGTTTTATGTTGCATCATGTCAAATAATTACGAAAAAAACGTTAATATAAAACATGTTAAATAACAAATGTGTCATGTAATCTATGATTCAACTTGTTTAACCTATGAGTAATTTTACTACTATTGATAATGATTCATCATATTCGATTTTGAATTGTAATTAAACTCTACTGTAATTCTCTTCTGTTATGAATACTGACGTTTTTTTTATGATTTTATTATACAGATATACTTTTTACATTATGTTCATAATTTTGTATAGTTGAATCTTGAAAGTAAATCGGTTTTTTTCTTCTCTTGTCATACTCTGTTCATATTTTGGTTAGTTTCACCTTGAATATTGATCCACATCATATTTTTTTTTCATTTGCACTGAACAATAGTTTCATTTCTTATTCAAAGGTTGCATATATGCTTTAAGTTCTATAATATAAGATTATTATATAATCTAGCATAAAATACAAAACTAAACTTCCGGTTGAGAGACATTAAATTTTTAATATATTAAAATAAACTTGGAAGCCAACAGGAAAATTTATATATAATAACTGTTAATTTGTTATATTCAATCCTCGTACAGAAAATAGAAAAGAAGTATATATGTGTTGTAGGATTATCTCATAGTACACCGATGTTCGACTATATTGAAATAATTAACCTGATAAAAGAAAGGTTATAGCTAATAAACAGAGAAAAAAAATTGGCGAAAAATTAAAAAAAAAAGACCAGCGTGACATAATAATTTATATGTATGTCATTATCAGAAATGAAAAATGCCTGTCTACTCTGTAAATCAAATCGACGTCTTTTGACGTCATCAAGGGTTTCATTAAAACAATATTCAAGAAAAATAAAAATGTTTCTTTATTAAAAGACAAAAATCTTTTTATTAAAAAGTTTCTAATGTAATCAATAATAAAAATTTGTATTAGCAAATAAAGCTTGTAAGTACTATGCATGTTTGTCATTACCTAAATAAGATAAACCCATACTTATAAAAAATTCTTTTTTTCGTTCTTTTATCATCAAAGTATTGCTTCACCATGTTGCAGCTACATATATTATTAACCATGCAGCAACCGTAAAAATACGGTCAATGACGATGATAATGAAAATAGTTTGAAAAAAAATAATTAATTGATACAGATTTTTATCAATCTATTGTTTTTTTTATTAATATTTTTATTGGTCGAAATCTTTTCCATAAAAGAAAGTCACTGGACCATATTGACAACATACAATATGAATCAGAAATATTCTACTTTCTGGATGCCATTTCCTTAATAGTCCAAACAGTCTAAAAGTATGAGTCATTATTATCATCATCATAATTGTCTGTATTAACGCCCACCAAACGCCTATTCTTCGTATTAATATTGTATAACATCAATGAAAAGACGTGACTGAAACACTTTTGAAGGTCACACCATGTAAATGATCTTTTGTTTGAAAAACATATTTCACAATCAAATTATTGTTGTGATATAATTGTAACTAATTATATGTACAAGAAAAAAGTGTAACTTATTCGAATCAAATTAACATCTTGCTAATATTTTCAATAGGAAAAAAAATGTCCTAATACAAAAGACGTGAACATGATTAATGATGTTTGCATTATGTAGACACGGAAAAAGAAGTAATTGAAGTATATCCGTAATCGCCCACGCAGAAATCAAGATTTACATGAAGTGCTTGTAGGCCGGAAAAAAAACTTATGTATGGAGACTAAAGAATTAAATAAAAGAAAAGAAAAATCATAATAATTCAAAAATGCAAAAATCGACATTTTCTTTGTATTATTATTATTATGTACCAATGACAATATAAAATTTTAGTGATAAGCGGTCATGACAAAGCAAATATAGATGCACTTTATATTACTCATTCCAATAAAATAAGTCAAGGAGGAGGAGTTATAATTGAGTCGAATATTTTCATCGTTTTTCTATGAATGTCTCTCGTATATTTTACATTTAACTGTTATTTTTGTTCTCTCCCTCCCCCTCTCTCTTTCAGCTATCTTCAATCTTTCTCTCAATTCTCTCTTTTTTTCTCTCTTTTTTTTCTTATGCTTTCGTTTGAGTAATTCTCCTTTAGTATTATTGGTATTTCATTCTTTTTTTCTGATTTGATCAGTGTCCTGAAATATCGCATTAATAGTATCACTGGCATAAATATATATTTAGAAAGAAAAAGACTTTTTTTAGGAATTTAATTAATCTATAATGTGGTTTTCATCGTTATCTCAGTTGTGTATTCTTAGCACTATAATTATAGTTCTCATTAATCAATACATTTTCATTGTACAAGGTATGTCATATATATGCTTTATTTTTGTTCAATATCTATTGAAAAAAAAAACATTCGAGTTCAAGTTTTTCTCTGTTTACTTGTTCTTACTATGGTTATTCATCCATATTGACAATATGTAAGATTCTATTTAATGTACATAATCTGTCACAAAATTCATAATGCTAAGAAACGAGTCGATATAACAAGTCAAGGGTAATATGAAAGGAAATAAGATCAAGTAAAAGCTATAGGATTTATATCCTTTTCATTGAAATAAATGGGAATTATAGATGTAAAAGAATAAAAAGCAGAGGATATCTATTTCTCATTTTCAACAAAAGGCGTTAATATCTTCATTTTACTTTAGCTGGTAATTGTTTTTTTCAACGTACTAATGATTTATGCTATGGTCTAAGTGAAGCAGATACAAATGAAGAACTATGTAGTGGATCATACTATTCCGATAGTGATATCAAAGAACTTGATGGATTTGCATATGCTGAAAATTGTCGTCCTGTAAATGGTATGTATATATAGAATGTACTATATATCTATATATATCTTAATATAATAGTATTACCAAAACTATGTGATTTTAATTGTGGTCTTGGTCAACAATGTCAATTGATAAACAATGAAGAAATGTGTGTATGCAGTGAAGCATCATGTACTTCATCGGATTCATTATCATCTAAAATTGAACAACATCCATTATGTGCATCAAATAATATGACATTTAGTTCAGAATGTGCGATGGAAGCTTGGAAATGCTTCAATCAACAGTCAGCATTATATAAAAAATATGATGGTGAATGTCAAAGTAAGTATTTAAATCATTCAAAAAGAAATATAATCTTTTCTGTCTTCTTTTTTCTTTTTTTTTATTCCATAGAGGATTGTCAAAATGTTAGATGTCCATCTCATAAAGTTTGTTTATTAGTTCAAAATACAGGTGAGCCAATATGTTATCCAAAAAATCATTGTAATTCAACATTAAATCCTGAACCAGTTTGTGATACAAATGGTATTACATATCCAAATATTTGTGTCATGCGTCTAAGTTCTAATCGACAAGGTCAAACACCTGTATTAGCCCATAAAGGTTCTTGTGGTATGAATTTTAAAAAGGAAAATTTCTTTTTTTCTGTCTAATATTTAAATTTTAATAGAAAATGAATGTCGACCAGATCTGTGTGAAGCAAATGAACGTTGTGTGTATTCTAAACAATTTCGTCCAGTTTGTATACGTTGTCAATATTCTTCGACATTTTTAAAACATAGTGGTGAATGTACTATGAATATACCAATATGTGGTGATGATCAAAATTTATATGAAAATTATTGTTCTCTATTATTTGCCCAATGTTATAAAAATCAGTATATTAATATAACTGGTTATGGTGCATGTCCGACTAAAAAACGTAAGAATATTAATAGAAATAAATTCAAATATTTAAATCGATTTTCAAAATTGAAAGTGAATTGAACAATGGTGAATATTTCTTTATAAAGAATGTCAATGTTAGATGAGAATGTAGATCTCGTAAAATATTGTTCCATATAACCGGTGAATGTATTCTTAACCTAATATTTTGTTGTGCATATATATATATATATATTTAATGATCGCTTACAAGCGAGTATAATCATTAAAAATAGCGTCGAATTTAACTTTTGTTTTCCTTGTCTTTATCAATGTATTATATTTTCCTTAATGGAAATTGAAACAAAAAATTAAAAAAAAAAACTTTATTTGTTGTATCTTATATTTTATTCTTCTTATTTTTTCTTGTTGTGTCTGTTGTCAATATTTGCCACTCATTGTATATTTGTTTAAAAACAAAAAATTACAAAAGAAACAAAAATATTGCATCTAAAACAAAAAATAAATCTTTTGTGTTTTTTTTTGAAAACAAGAACTATAACTTAAAGAGTTAAATGATCTGATAGAGAATCAATATTATTCTTTAAATAGTAATTCTACATAAATATACGTCGAAGCAACTTCTGATTTTCTGATTGTTTAAAAGTCATTCTAATTGTGGCGAATTATCCTGTTTTTTCAATTTTTGGCACTCTTATACAAGAACATCCTAAATCCAGAAAATCAGAATTATTCGCCAAACCTTGAATGAATCAAAATGATTTTTAAGGAATCAAGACCGCTATGATACATACATAAGTAATAGGCATATAATATGTTAATGTATAAAACATATAATCTATTATTCATAATTCTTTTGTTTATAGTGAAAATATTTTGAGAGCAAGAATATGATCTTCTAAAGTTAAGGAATAATTTCATATAAGTTTTCATTTTATAGTTTTGTATGATCGATTTTTGTAAATTCTAAAATTGATGGATAATTACAAAATATTATTAAATAAATATGTTTTGGTGTTTGTCATCTTAACAAAAATAAATGTGTTTGTTGAAAAGTCAATCATTATGCCTATTAGTAAGGTGATCGAGAGAAAAAAAAAGAAAAATATCGATCGGTTAAATATGGACTACTATTATTCTGTTTAGGGCATGTCAACCCACGTCGTCTCTTTTTTAGCAACTGCGACGCAGTTATGGCGTAACTGCGTCGCATCTCAATCATAACTGCAAAACATTGCGCTGCAGTTACATGTAGTTACGATGAAATAATCGCAGTTACGCGTAATTATGATGAAAAAAATCGCAGTTACACGTACCACACCGTACTTTTTCAAAATTACGAGTCACAATGCGATCGCAGTTATGCCGTAACTGCGTCATAAATCGATCGTCATTGAATATATGGAAATTTTCTTTTTTTAATTCTACAAAGGTTTCTTTCATTTTTTTTTGAGTTGCTTTACATACCAATCCATAGCTTTCGTTGATTTGTATATGATGTTAAAAAATTTTTACTTTTTTTGCATTATGTTTAGTTAAGATCTTGTTGTACTATATATTATATATTGTAAGAATTTATTTGATTATTTATGATCAACATAAAAAAGTGCTCGAATCTTTCGGTTTATGAGCTACTATTTACTGTCAATGTAATTGCGATGATGAAAAGAGAATATCAATAATCTTCGTGTATCATAATGTGTGCTAAGATTAAAAGAAAATTTTCGTTATCGACTATAAATCAAAAAGAGCAGCGATCAACGCGAAACCTAATCATACATCAATCTCTAATAATTTATTTATTTTGATTAACTGTTTATATTAAAGGCGCACAATCTTTAATAGCTGCCACATATTAGGGCTTGTCATGTTGTAAACGGCGAATTAATAATATTAATTTAAACAAAATGTCAAGTTATCCTTCTTTACACCCACGAATATTATATAGACAATTGTACTCGTCGTAACTTTTAATTGTGTATGGATTGGTTGTTACTGTTGCCGTTATTATTCTGACTCATAAGAGAAAAATTGTCTTTCGTATGTTAATCTTAATCTATTGTGCGCCATTGACGTTTTGTCATTTTCTATCTGCTTTCCATCTTAACATGCCAGACAAAATTGCTATTGTGCTCGATGAAGCGGGAGACTACTAAGTTGTTGCTTTATAGATTTGAATACCGATTAGCATAATTGTATTCTAGAACATATACGACTAAAACTAAGAAATTGTTTATTCGGTTCTTTTTAAAGTCTATCATTCTAGTCGTATCTAGAAATAGTGAATTATACATAATGAATAGATTTAAATGAGTTTATACTATATGCCAGCTAAGTAATATGAAAATCGAAGTTCTGTTAAGGTCGTCCCGTAAAAAAAAGTCAATTTTCTTCAAAAAAATAAAAATTAAGATAAATTCATGGAAAGATAAATCGATACCTGATCTTTCATTTATCACATGAATTTTTTATTCGGTATCTCGTTTTTCGTCCAAATTTTTAGATGATTCCTGTCATCATCTGCTTGAAAAGTATATTGTTTCCTGAGAAAGCAGGAAATGCTTTTTGTTTTTTCTCTTTTTATGCATTCTTGATCACACGATCCAGAATTCTCTGTGGGCCTTCATTGTATATATTTAATCTTTTGTTTTTTTTGAAAGAGCATGTCAAAATGTAGAACATGACAGTTTCTTCTTTTTTATTTGACCTTTGTTGCTATTATATACAGGTATTTTTTATATAAAGAGCACCATTTTTTGAAAATTTTTCCTGTCATTACACTTTTCTATCCTTAAAAAATAAGAATTTTAAAATAAGTGCTCTGTCATGCCCTTTCAAACAAAACAAATTAAGTATATAGAATAAAGACCTATAGAGAATGTTAGGTTGCCAAATGGGCTATTCTTAATCCTTGTTTGATGAATATATCTTGAAAACATCATGATATGAAGCTGAAAATTTTATCATAGCCTCTCCACTAGTCTCAATATATCCTAAAAATATCATGCGATTTAAATATACCTGACCCTTGAATCAATTTTTGAACGTGGGCGTTAAAACGCTCTTTAAGAAACTACGAGGAAATATCATTACAACAAACAGATAGTTATAAAACAACAAACTTTATTAGAAAAAAAGGTAGGATTGATTTGCAAACATTCACTAGTAGGTGAAAATTATATGAATAAAACTTCTCATATGAAATGTTCCACAAAATACAAATTAGCTGGCGTTTCCAAGCCAATGATAAGTTACATACATGGATGTACTGGTGACTATATAATAAATCTACCGTGATGAGTGATTATTGATATCATCACTTATTATTATGTTAAGGATATCTGCAAGAAAAACGGAAGAAATGAATCATATCTTGAGGCGTGGGTGTCGTTATCATTACATGTTCTGTTCTATAATTACAGACGATCTTTATTTTTATGATTATTTGATAACGATAACTATGTTGAATTTGACATGTTTATCTGTCAATACACACTTAAATATATTGCATGAAGTCATTATCAATATTGATATTCATACGTCATTCGATATATTCCCAATTTTTGTTTTATTAAGATTTCATCAGACCAATAAATTTTAACAAAAAAAGTTTGCTGTACAAAAAAAAAGAGAAAACAATAATAACAGAAAAACCAATGCTAACAATTCTATCGTGCAAATATCTGACATGAAATTTATTGATTATTTGACGTTTGTTTATGATTAACAAGTGATGAAAATGACTCTCGAAGATGTCGTTTAACTTTACGTCCAAACGTCTAAATATTTAAAAGTTTGAAAAAGAGACAATAATAACAAAACTAAATTAACAAGGAAACATATTAAACTGATCGATCTACTGAATTATAAGTTATTGACTATACCCACTTCGAATATAACCATAAGAAATCGCTGTAGGTCTTTATACGCCGATTTTCTAGGCTAACAAGTATTTTGCTAAAATTATTTTGGATCTGTTCAGACTCATTGACTTGTCTGTAAGACAATAATATTTCCTGTTTTTCAAAATTAAGTTTTAACAAAAATAGTGTCATCTAGAAGATTCTTACACTGAAGTGTTAATATGTAAAGTATCGGAAATGCAAAATGAAAGCGGAAATGCAAAATGAAAGCGGAAATTTTTTCTTTTCTTTATATATGGCTAAAGAGAGCGTGTCAAACTGATTAAGAAAGGATGCATTTGCAATTTTTTCATTTCCTTTGAATTTTAAGACTGTTTGTTTCAAGTTTAACGTGAAAAACTGAATTTAGAAAGGTCATTTTAATTAATGAGTTTCCCAGATTCAATTTTGAAATTTAAAGAAAATGAAAAAAATTGAAAACACAAACATTCTTGTTCAGTTGAACATGCTCTATCTAACTGTATGTAAATATAGGAAAAAAATCTTTCACTTGAATTTTGCATTTCCGGCATCTTATCTTTTTGATGAATTGAGATAATTATATTTTCTGCAAAAAAACGTCGCTATTTTCTGGGCAATTCGATATACTCTATAACCTGTACAGATCCAAAATATAAAAAAATTGCCGAAAAGTTTGATAGTCTAGAAAGCCAACATATGAAAACCAAAGAGGATTTCTCATGATCATATTGGAAATAAAGCATTGTTGATAACCTACGACGAACTAGTTTTCAATGAGAACGTGATTGATCAGTTGAAAACGTTTCCTCATAAATTTTAATTGTTCTTTTTTTACTTGTTTATCATTTTGTTTTTTATTTATTGCTGAAGATGGTGTTATTGGAATAAGTAATGTCATAAGTTTTTTCATTTGCTGTTGTTGTGTTGTTAATTTTTCTTCATTGATTTCTTTAGCAGCTAATGTTTCACTTAATAAACGAATATGTTCATGTAATGCATCAGTTTTTATCATACAATCAACATTTCGATTATATTCACTTTGATATTTTGTCATAAGTAATTCATATTCCTCTAAAACAAAAATAAAAGATCAAGAAGAATTTTTCTTTTTTTTTTTTTGAAAATACCATTTAAATGTTCGAATGCGGTGGTTTTTTCATCTAATAATTGTCGTAGAACATCATGTTCCTATAAAAAGAAAACAAGTTGAATATCGAA